ACGTGGTCACTGGGAGAGACTGGGATGGACTGGGAGAGTGTGAGAGACAGTGGGATGGACTGAGATGTGCTGGGATGGACTGGGAGGGGGCAAAAGGCCACGGGATGAGCACAGGGAGGGCTGAGGGGTCTGAGGTGATTCCCAGGGAGGGTTTGAGGGGCTCCAGGGTCATTCCCGGGGCAGGGGCCGAGGGGACCCGCTCTGCCCCACGCTCACCTCTCCTCTGCACGCTGAACGGGGTGTACGCCTTGTAGTAGTACCGGCAGTGCGTGTCCACCGCAGCCCGTCTGCGCTCCATCGATTCTGGGAGGCTGTTCCAGTACCTGGCCTGGATCTCCCCATACGGGGTGTCTCCCACATAGACCCCCACATCGCTGTCGAAGTGGGCGTACTGCTCCTGGTTGTAGATATTCCTCACCACGAGCCTCACCCGGTCGGTGCCATTGATGAAGTGACACTCACACTTTGTAATCTCCTGGAACACCCCTGTGTGTGCAGGACACGGGTCAGGGGGTGCCCCGTCCCCCCCCATCATCCCCCAGCCCCTCACAGCAGGGTGGGAGCTCAGGGGGCCACCCCGGATCCCCCTTTCCCACCCCCCTCTGCCCCACGGACGCCCCAGCACCGGCTCTTGGCTGGGGGGAACCCCCCATCAGCCCCCCGGGGATGGACAGGGGGGTTGGGGACCCCCCAATGCGGATCCGACCCCCCCAGAGCCCCAGGGAACCGCTCCAGGGCTCAAGGAACACCCAGGGACCCCCATGGCACCCCTCTGCCTGCTCTCCCACACCCCCTTTCCCCCTCTCCCACCCCTTTCCCACCGGCCCCACAATCCCCAGACCACCCCGAGCTCACTTTTTTCGGGCTCCCACTCCCCTCCTACTAATTCCGGGGCTCCCACTCCCTCTTTTCTCCCCTCTTGTCCCCCCTTGCCCACCCCACCCCCCTGCCCGCCCCCCCCGCTCACCCGACAGCTCCTCGCCCGCAGCCGGGGGGGCTCCCAGCACCACCAGCACCGCCAGCACGGCCCCAGCTCCCCGCACACGCTCCATGCCCAGCGCCGGACAGCTGCTGACACCCCAAAACCAGCCGGGCGGGGACGTTTTGGGGGTTTTGGGTGCGCTCTGATTCGCTGAGGGCGCAGTTGGGGGCACTTTTGTGGCCTGGTCCTCCCGGCGACTGATGAGTCATCAGCGCGGCGCGCTGGGATTGGGCGCGGGCGGCGTGGGCGCTTTGGGATTGGCTGAGGGCCGTTGGGGGCCCCCGCGGCAGCCCCGGGGCCTTTGGGGGGTTCGGGGGGGTCCGTGGCTGCGGGGGAGGGGGGAGCTCCAAAAATGGGCATTCAGGGAGTGCAGAGAATTGGGAAGCTTTACTGGGAACACTGGGAGCAGCCGGCTGGTGTCAGAACAAAAGCAGGTACAGGGGGACACACGACCCTCCCAAAATAAGCACGGGGATGGATTTGAGGATCCAGGCTGGGCCCCCTCAGCCCTCCAAGGACCCCCCCAGATCCCTTCTCAGCCCTTCCATTTCCCCACAAAGCCGCTCCCATCCCCAAAATGCTCCCCCAAACTCCCTCCCAGTTGCCCCCAGGACTCCTCAAAGCCCCTCTCAGCCCTCCCAGCACCCACCAACCTCCTTCTCAGCCTCTCCATTCCCCCCCAGACCCTCTCCCTTACCCCCCAAACTCCCTCCCAGTTCCCCCCAAGGCCCCCAGAGCCCCTCACCCCCCTCCCAGTGTCCCCCCGGTGCTGAGGGGGCCGGGCCGTACCCCAGTCCCGGCTCAGGGGGTGCTCCAGGCTGACGTGCTCCACCCGGCACCGGGGGGGATTTCCAGCCTCACCAGCACCTGGGAGCTCCAGTCCCCGTTGCCTCAAGAGAGCGCGGAGGAAAAGACTCCAGGCCAGGGGAGTGGATGAGATGAGATAAAGAGAGCAGGGCCTTGAATGGAGCCTCAGGCCAGGGGAACACACACGACAGGCACCCCCCAGACAGTGGCTCTGGGATTTTATAACAAGGTCCATCCAACCCCAGATCTCTCCACCCCCCGCTTCTGCCCCGTTCTGCCCCCGACACACCCCTTTGGGAACTGGGTTGGGGGTCTTTGGGACCCCTTCTTCCTCAGCTTCATCTTCTTCACAGCACCCACAGTCCTTGGAGCTCCTCCAGAGTTCTGGGCTTGAAGGTGGCTGTGTCTGTGTGATGTCTTCTGGTCCAGGCTTTTCTACAATTCTACCTTGAAAAGGAGACTAAACACGCTAATGGAATTTAGAGGGATTGATATGGAATGGGGTAACAGGGTTGGGGATGTGCAAACATTATGCTACAGGGTAAGGGATACAATGCAGCTACATTTAAATCTACAATCACTACACCACTACTTCTAAAATCTACAAAAGTTAAAAAATTCAAAAAGCTCTGAGGCATCACACCTCTTCTTTTACAGTTCTATCACAACTTTTTAGAAGTCAATCATATTACATTACAGAGCTCCATTTCTATGTTGGTTAGGTACACCTTTTATATATCTTTATATACCTTTTATAAACCTTTTAACACCTTAATAAAATCCCAGGCATCTTGCTTGGAACTCCCCGGATCCAGGGACCGAGAGGATCTCCCTGAATAACATTTTCAGTGTGCATGGAATCCTCAGGGTCCTGGAACCCCTGGAGCATCAACAGCTTTGTCCCTCCAAGGGGGTCCCAATTTGTTTCCAATGGTTCAGGAATACAAAATAAACCAAACACCAGTTTCCAAAACCAAATCAACTTATAAGTCTGAACATCACAAGTTAATATCCAAAATACCAGAAAGGATTTCTTCAAGATTCTTTCTTTGCAACCTGAAGTACCCATAATACAAAATAAACCAAATACCTGTTTCCAAAACCAAATCAACCCAATACCAGTTCCAGAACCAAATAAACCAATGAGTCCAGACTCCCAAATTAATATCCAAAATCATGGCCGGGCTTCGCGAACGAAGATTTGGGAAGGGCTCTACCCACATGTGCTACAAGAGCTTTGGTGGCTAAAGAGGCCAGGACAAGATAGACAAGTGCAGCTGCCAAAGGCAGAGCAGAAAGACTCCTTGGATGGGATCGACAGGACACGATTCTTTCTGCCTTGTCTTTTCTCCTCGAGGGTGACCCTGCGTGCGTTCTCAAAGGAAGCAGCAGCGTTACAGACAGTGTGTCTCCAGACCTCCTGACTGGAGGCCAGAGTAGAGCAGTGATGAAGATCAATGTGGCTGTGCTGGTTTAAAAGTTAACCAGCAAGGCAAAATGAACTCAATTCAAAAGAGAGATTTATAAGTCAGAATAACAATTTATTAAAATAATGCAATAAGTACAATTATACAGACAGACAATTGGTTTTAATCCACAAAACCCAAATGTACAAACCCAGCACCCTGGGGTATGAACAAAAGTGGTGTACCTTGGCCCACCCCCCGAGTCCAAAGCAAAGGGAGAGGGAATAAACCTGCTGGTGGGAGAGCTGCTGCAGTCTGGTCAGAAGTGGTGATTGCAGTCCAGTCGAGGGTGGTGGTCTCAGCCTGGTTGGGAGCAGCAGTGGTCTGCTGTCTTCCTCTGGGTCCCACGAGAGAGAGTCCCAAGGCTCTGAAACTCCCAGTTATATACTCTCCAGTTCAGGCGGGAGTGCTCAGTCCCTCCCTCAGAGTAGGGAATTCCATAAAAGGGCATGTGGATGCTCAGTCCCTCTTATCAGAGCGGGGAATTCCATATAAGGATATCAGAGCGGGGAATTCCATAAAAGGGTACAGGAACATCTTCCCACCTTGCAGGCCTCTACTGACAGCAGTTTTTTGGGCAATGGCATGGAGGCTCTAGAATACACAGTTTTGGGTTACACCCATCCAGGGATGAATTGGTCCCAGCCGTTCTAACCAGGACACCCTCTTTCACAAGATGTGAGGACCTGAGAGTGATCAAATCCCCTATTCCCAGGATTTTGTGACTCTGAGTGTCCCCAAACCCCCCCTGTTCTCACAATTTTTGGGGCCTGTGAACGCCCAAATCCCCGTTCTCACAATTTTGCGGGTCTGGGAGTACCTAAACCCCTTTTTTCAAGGATGTTTTGGGCTGAGAGAGCCCAAAGCCCCCTGTTCTTGTGGTTATTGAGAGGTTGACATTGCCCAAAACCCCTGTTCCCAGGAGTTTTGGGGTTTGAATGTGCCCAAACACCCTGTTCCCGGGTTTTTCATGGGCTGATATTTCCCAAACACCCCTGTTCCCAGGATTCTTGAGCTCTGGATGTGACCAAACCAACTTTCTCCAGGATTTTGTGGATCTGGGGGTGCCCCAAACCCCCCCAATTCCGAGGATTTTCAGAACCCCCCAACTTCTCTCCAGTAAGCAGGACTGCAGAGCACTAAGAAGCTTTACTGGGAACACTGGGAACACCTGGTTGGGGTGAGAACAAAAGCAGGGAAGGGGGGGACAGGCGACCCCGCAAAATCAGCGCAGGGTTTGGGGGGTCCCAGCTGGGTCCGAGGCCACGGGGAGGGGCTGCGGCCACCGGTGGCTCAGAAGCTCTGTGGGGAGAGAAAAGGGGGTGAGAGCAAAAGGGCTGGGGGG